ATAAAATTAATATTTTTAAATAAAAAATACAAAATTAACATTCTTATTCATAAATTTTCTCATTCTCTCAATCTCATCCCATTCCAAGGGGTGAAGAGACAGGGTGGCACATCACTGGCTTCAATGATCTGAGAAAACATTTTTTCTTTCCCATTCCGTATCTGAGAATATACCGTGTACTTCTACAAACCACGAGCCAGTTTCTCCTCTCCTGGACAGCTAGAGCTCTTCTACTTCAATGTTTAAACTTGAGAACTTCAAGCCAAGAATTTCAACAGCTCTAACTATCGGATTGTTCCCTAGTTTTCGGCCTTCGGATTGTTCCCTAGTTAGCGTTGCATGATTGCTTCCAACGGCTTGTAAACAGGTCCAAATTAATGCTTTAATAATTGATGTTAGCTTCCAACTTACGCCCCTATAATTTGATGCCTAAAAGACTCTAATTCCAAAAGATAGCAATCATAATTTAAAAAAAAGTCGAGCCACCAAACACAGAAAATGACTGGCTAGCAACCTCGTGCCCCAATTTGCATCCACAACTAATTTCTTGTAACATTCCAAGCCAACATCAATTGAAAACCCACTAATCCACTACTCCTCCCAATTTCTTTTTAAGAATTTTTTCATGAACTCGTATCTTTACTTTGCCGCAATTTTGTTGGCTGATTTAATTTATAAAAAGAAGATGATCATCAATTGGCTTATAATTAAACTCATTCAAGGAAAGTAAGGAAGCCTACAAGGAGTAGTGTACGTTAGTTTCGATACGATATTGTCAAAAGTGGTAGGGACAAAGAATATGTACCGTTCTACATGGAAGACGATCGAAGATTAATAAAGATTCCAGGACGGTGACTACTCTTTCTTTTTATATGCTTTTCCTTGGACGTTACTTTTTTGTTCTCTAGGATAAATCTGCCAAAGTGCCAACGATGATTGACGATAACTGAAATTGATGAGATGGGGATTCTCACATGGGAAATGACTCAGATTCAGTACCAAATGGTCTAAAAACATTGGTAATTGTTCCATCAAAGAGTGGCAAAAGATCCAAAAACAGTGGCAATTATTCCACCAAAGCCAAAAATATGACAGAAAGGAAGATAGCAACACAGTTATCCCTTTCTTCACCGAACCTCTCTCTTTTTTAACTCCAGAGTTAAACTAAACATGTCTTTTTTAGTGGCAAAATTCGAGCTAAAAAAGATTAATTAAAATGTCCTTAACGAATTTTGTGTATGTTAATTAAAGGTGTTTTAGTTTTGCTTAGCTCAAATGACTTTTAATTTTTTATTGGCGTGTACTGAAAGGCATTTGTTTCTTTTTTTATGATTATTATTATTTTTGCTAAAAGTTTCTTTTTGATCACTACTAATCTGTTAAGCACTTGATAAAAACTACCATGATTAATACATTTCTTTTTGAAAATAGTTCTTGCGGACACTCTTGTCCATTCATTGAACATATGGTGAAATAATACTGATGACACAAGAATCCATTTTATGCATTATTAGTGGTGAGGGTCCATTCCAGCTAATTGCCACAAACTATTAGCTTGCTGTGTGTCTTGATAATCTAATTAAAAATTTAAAACTCTCTGATTGGTTTGCTTTTCTAATGGGTCTAATTAAATAATCTCTTACCTTAATGTAATAGTGTTCACATTTTTTCCTAAATAACAAACAACAATGATATAGTTACAATCTCACTATGATAGTAAACATAAAATTAATATATGTATATATAATATCATGGGTAAAAAAAAAAAAAGTAAGTAATTTATTTGTAGCACTAAACTTTAAGTTTACTGTCTCTTCATAAAATTTGTTTTTCAGTTCTTCCATTATCAGTACCACTAAGTGGTCTGGTTCCACTGTACTCCTAATGGCACTACATTGTGGTAACGAACGATAATGGATTGCGTTGAAAGAAGTTGAAAGGGGCCAGCCGCTGCTTTTCATTTGTCACCATCTTTAACAAACCTCAAATTAGTGGTGTCTCCACCAATATCACTTTCCTTATGGTTACTACTGCTTCATTAAATTAAAAATCAATGCTGAAGACGCTAACTTCTGTAGAAGTTAAACTCAAGGGACAAAAACGACCAGATAGAAACGAATTTGTTTTCTTTCTGAGAAAGATTTTAAGATTTGTTAATGTGGGGTCATGGCATAACGTTAGAAGTAAGAAGTAATAAGGAAGAACATGTACTTACTTGAATCATTATCAATCAATTATCGCAGGAATCCCTGTCAACTATTGAGTGAAGAAATTAATTAACTAGGCTGTCTTAATTTGTGCTGTGCTGGTGTCGTCGATTCTTCATATAAAGAACCTTTAAGACCACCATTCAGCAAACCCAATACACTTAATCTTGTTTCTTGCCCTCTTCTGACTGAATTCTGTCCAAGATGAAGCCATTGAGTCCTAAGCTTCTAGAAATTTCACTGTTTTTTCTGATTCTCTGTTTCACACATGTGGTAGCAGAGCAATCTAGAAAAACCTACATAATCCACACGGACAAGACCAACATGCCGAAGAGCTTCACAGATCATCTCCAATGGTATGATTCATCGTTGAAATCTGTATCGGATTCTGCATCCATGCTTTACACTTACAGCAACGTAATCCATGGCTACTCCACGAGGTTAACGGCTGAGGAAGCTGAAGCACTCGAAGAGCAGCAGGGGATTCTCTCTGTAATTCCTGAATTAAGATATGAATTGCATACCACTCGGACCCCTGAGTTTCTTGGGTTGGCAGGGAAGAGTAGTCCGGTATTTCCCACGTTTGAAACGGCGAGGGATGTGATTGTTGGTGTTCTAGACACTGGAGTTTGGCCGGAGCTAAAGAGTTTCAATGACGAAGAGCTCGGACCAGTACCGGAGAAGTGGAAAGGCGAGTGTGAGGTGGGAAAGACCTTCAATTCGTCCAGCTGCAATAAGAAACTGATTGGAGCAAGGTATTTTTCAAAAGGGTATGAAGGATCGATCGGACCTATTAATGAAACTGTTGAATCAAAATCGCCTAGAGATGACGATGGGCATGGAACTCACACGTCAACAACCGCGGCTGGGTCGGCTGTTTCCGACGCTAGCTTATTTGGTTTTGCTTCAGGGACGGCTCGAGGGATGGCTACAAAAGCTCGAGTCGCCATTTACAAGGTGTGCTGGCTCAGCGGCTGTTTTGGGTCTGATATTTTAGCAGCCATGGACAAGGCTGTCCAAGACGGTGTCGATATCATGTCCTTGTCCCTCGGTGGAGGAGTATCAGAGTATTACACGGACACCATTGCCATCGGAGCATTCTCGGCAATGACACATGGAATTCTTATATCTTGCTCAGCTGGAAATGGTGGACCCTCCTCAAGTAGTTTGTCTAATGTTGCACCATGGATAACTACAGTAGGTGCCGGAACATTGGACCGTGAATTCCCTGTCTCTGTTGCTCTAGGAGACGGAAAGAAATACTCCGGTGTCTCACTTTACAATGGAAAGACAATATCGAATTCCATGGTGCCAATTGTTTACGCAGCCAACGTAAGTAATTCAAGCAGTGGTAATCTTTGCTTGTCTGGAACTTTGATTCCGAGTAAAGTCGCTGGAAAAATCGTGGTATGTGATCGAGGGGGCAGCGGGAGGGTGAGGAAGGGATTGGTGGTGAAAGAGGCTGGCGGAGTTGGAATGATTTTAGCTAACACAGAAATTTACGGAGAAGACCTTATTGCCGACGCACATATCTTGCCTTCATCAGCCGTAGGGGAAAAAACTGGAGATGCTATCAAGAAATACATCTTTACTGAGGCTAATCCGACAGCCGCAATTGGCCCTGGAAGCACAGAGTTGGGCGTTCAGCCATCTCCGGTGGTGGCAGCATTTAGTTCAAGAGGTCCAAATCCTATCACATTGGCGATACTTAAACCGGACATTATTGCACCGGGAGTCAATATATTGGCTGGGTGGACTGGCGCCGCTGCTCCGACAGGATTGGATGAAGACAAAAGGAGGGTAAACTTCAACATCATTTCAGGCACGTCAATGTCTTGCCCACATGTAAGTGGGTTAGCCGCTCTCCTCAAGGCTGCTCATCCAGAATGGAGTCCAGCAGCCATTAGATCCGCCCTCATGACCACCGCCTACTCAGCATACAAAAATGGCAAAACCATCCGAGATTTTGCTACCGGACAACCAGCAACAGCGTTCGATTATGGTGCAGGACATGTGGATCCGGTGGAAGCCCTTGATCCTGGCCTTGTTTATGACACCACCGTTGATGACTATCTGGACTTCCTTTGTGCCTTGCGCTACACATCAAATCAAATCAAGCGAGTCACAAACAGGGACTTCACTTGTGATTCAAGCAAAAACTACTCACTAGCAGATTTCAATTATCCATCCATTTCAGTTCCTCTTCAAAGTGCTTCAGGAAAGAAGGGTGGTGCCAGCGTCACAAGCACATTGATATATTCTAGAACTCTAACTAATGTGGGTTCGCCTGGAACATATAAGGTTGCAGTGGTTTCACAGACAAAAGCAGTGAAGATCTCGGTTGATCCAGCATCTCTAAGTTTCAGTAAAAAATACGAGAAGAAGAGCTATACCGTGACTTTCACTGCTAGTTCCATGCAATCTGGGACAGCCAGCTTTGCCAGTCTGGTATGGTCGGATGAGAAACACACTGTAAGTAGCCCGATCGCTTTCACGTGGACATGATAGTGATGGCAATTGGAACAGGTCAACGGCCGATGGCTCTCCAAATATTGAACTGACTCAGTGACTGCAAAGAAGTCTTAGTATTGCTATTATCTTTTTATTTTTAATGGTACTCTTTACTCTTCACATTGGAGCAACTATGCAAGAAAAGCTAGTTGTGTGTGTAACAAAACTCCTACAAAATCAGGGGACAAGAAAAACTTCAAAAACGGGTTGGGGATTGGGGTTGCAAATAATTGTGCAGTAACCCATGTTAGGGACTGGCATGTGAATTTTAGACTGAATTCCTACTATTTGTACCTAAACTAGCATTAAATTCTGATCTTTCATGGTTACTGTTTTTTTAATTTGTACATATAAGAAATCAAGGAATCAGGGATTGTTGGTATACTACATAAGTTTGAGTCTCCTTCATTAGTCAGTATAGCAGTAGTCAACAGAAAAAAATAGAAGGAATAACAGTGCCTAGAGATATGATTATGGACACATGCTCGGGGGATGTTGGAAAACTCAGACGCAGAGAATAGAGCAACAAGCTAAATTTCACCAACAGATAATCAATTTTAAAACAAATCAAAAGCACAGATTAAATTGAAAACTGTCTACCATTCAGCAATAGCTATTAATGTATCTCCTACAAATCATGTTAGTTTATAGCGTGTTTCAAGAGACAGGACACCAATAGCATGTACTTGTGTTGCAGTATTATGCATTTAGAATGCCAGTAGAAGTGACATATCAAAGGATAAAAATAGGAAGCTTCTCCTTAAGGAATTAGTATATTCAAAACTGTCAGTTATTCCAAGATCAGTTGAGCAACTAGTGATAAACTCAGGACTTGTATAGTTGTATAACAGCTGATGCTGCTTGTGCCTTCGAGACTTGTGTAGCATTCATTGAGAAGGCTGCTGCAAATTCTTTGCTAAAGAAGATCGATAACCGATAACAAAAGACATCTCATAGTTATTTCACACTAGCATTCTGCAGTTCCAATTCTAACATTGCGGATATGCTGAAATCATTCAGAGTCCTGTAGAGACTAACAAACAGGAAGGTAATATGTATCAAGCTGCCAATACTTATGTCTCACACACCTTTCCAAACTTCTTCCCCCAAGCAATCCTTAACAGGCAGGGGGATTAATTGTGTTAAGCAGCCCAAATTCGTAAGTTCTAGGGAAACTAGATGGTAGTAAACAACACGGATGAATGCATTATCTCCACAAAGGCCATTGAAGAATGAGTATATTTCTCCAGGCTTCAATAGCTTAGGAAGATGATGATAAAGCTCCCTAAGATCTTCATAATATTCTCCATATGTGTCAAAGAAAATACGTAAGCGGATTCAAACAGTAAGAAAATATACTCCTGCAAATGAAATAAACCCCATGCTAGGAAATGCCAACTTTAGCATTTAAAAATTTAAAATAAATTTCAGAGTAGTAAAGTCGGTTTCTTTATGGTTCTTTTAGCCTTGATAGAAAA